TGACCTGGAAGTTTTAAGGTGAGGCATCCATAGATCTGGCTTGTTTTTCTAGAACATCCCACAGATGCTCGATCAGATTGAGATCTGAGGTAATTGGAGGCCAATTCAACACCTTGAACTTTGTATTACTGTAATTGCCATTGGGGGAATACTGTTGCCATGTACTTGGCCTGCAGCAACATTCTGGTAGGCGGTACGTGTCAAAGCAAAATCCACATGACATGGCAAGATGCAAGGTTTCTCAGTGAACACTGCTCAGAGCATCCCACTGCTGCCAACTCTTTCCCAGGTAAATGACGCACAAACATTCGGCTGTCAACATAATGTAAAAGAAACCATGATTAACCTTCTTTCATTGCTCCAGTTCTGACGCTTATGTACCTTTACAGGCACTTTTAGCAGTGGACAGAAGTCAGCATGGGCACTCTGACTGGTTTACAGCTACATTGCAAGCTGCTACGCACTGCATGCTCCAATGCCTTTTCATTATAGCCTGCATTAAAATTTTCAACAATTTGTGCTACAGTACCTTTTCTGAGGGGTCAAACCCAAGGAAGCAGCTTTCTCTCCCCATGCACAATAATGAGTCCATGACTATGTTGCCAGTTCACTGGCTGTCCTTTCTTTAAGCACTGTTGATAGGTACTAACCACTGCACCCCGCCAACACCCAAACAGACCTGTTTTGTAAAGGCTATGATCCAGTCAGGTGGCTCAGAGGTTTTTCTGCTTAAAGCACATTATTTTCAAGTGTTTTCAATTGTTCACTTGCTGACGAATATACTCCACCCCTTGTCAGGTGCCATTGTAATGATATAATCAACATTATTCATTCCACTAGTCAGTGGTTTTACTGTTGTGGCTAATCTGTTTAACTAAATGACAAAACAGGGTTTGAGACAATTAGCATCTAAAGAACTAAGCTTTAAATAAACAATACGAAATACTAAATGAACACTGTTGTGTAAGCTAGGATACTTGAAGTCCAAAGACGTTTACTACTTTGTGTCTGCTTTAACTTTTCTTTAATAACAAATCTTGTGTCAGCACTACTTTGGGATGTTTGTCTTTCAAAATGTTAAGCAAGTAAAATTACAGCCGAACAAGATTTTGTTTTGGTCCAACCTAATATTAGTGGATTTTCTTTAACATAATTAACTGCTCTTGAATGTACATCATCCATCCATCCATTATCTATACACCGCTCAATCCTCACCAGGGTCGTGGTGGGGGGGGGGGGGGGGGGGGGGGGGGGGGGGGGGGGGCTGGAGCCTATCCCAGCTGACTTAGGGCGAAGGCAGGGGACACCCCGGACAGGTCGCCAGTCCATCACAGGGCTACACTTAGAGACAGACAACCAAGCACACTCACATTCACACCCACAGACAATTTAGAATCACCAATTAACCTCAACATGTTTTTGGACTGTGTGGGAGGAAACCGGAGAACCCGGAGAGAACCCACGTTGCACGGGGAGAACATGTAAACTCCACGCAGATCCCGGTGCCCCCACCGGGACGCGAATCGGCGACCTTATATCAAAGTATAATAGTAAAAAAAACAACAACAAAAAACCCCAGTTCGGATTTCCTTTAGCCCAAGGTGATTTCCCGATATTTATTCTTTTGTCCAGACAGCAATATCTTTGCTTGAAAAACTTACGAAAATCTCATCAATACAACTGTTTAATAAATAAATAGTTGTTGATTAGTGTTTGTAGCTCAGACTTATAATTATGTTTACACATCTCCTAAATTGATATCATCAACCTTTTTTAATCGTTTAAAATGAAAGAAGGAGACTGCTAAAGGAACAGGTGCTCATTCAAAGCTGAAGGCTAAGACAAATACAAATCAGAATCAGAATTAGAAATCAGTATTGTTATGTTTTAATATAATATATACTTGCCAGATATTGCAAGATGGGTATTCCTATATAGCATAGAATAAAGCTTTGTGAGAAAGCATTAAATAGTATGCATTAGTAAAAAAAATTCACAGAGAAAACATGCCATCTTATACCACCAAAAGCTGATTACTTTTCACGTTTAACTAGTTATTCCAAAACATATAGAGAACACTGCCTGGGCTGGTTTCCAAGACCAGCACCTGAGCTCCACTAGGGAGGAATGTCATCCTCTACCCATCATTGTATTACAGTTAATGGGGAAAACAGCGGTAGTTGTGCTGGCATCAACATATTGTGTGATTTGTTTGGTCATTATATTTGTGCATTTGACCTCTGAATGATTACTTGACTGTTGTTACTTGCTTGTCTGTTTTGTATTTAGCTTGTAACCGAGGGACCAGTTCAATAAAGTTCAGATTTCAGTCTTAAAGGACCATTCGACAATGTTGAACCGGTGTCTTTTAAACTTGTTAATTCAGTTCATGGGAGGTAGTTTTTCCTTCTTCTTGTTGGTAACACTACTAAACTAAAATAGTTCTCTGTGGTTTTAAACACTCACATTTCCAAACAAATGTGAGCATTGTGTATTATCTACAACACAGAAAAAATGATATGACAAAAGAAGTTAATCAAAATCCAAGCGAGAATCAAGACACAGACAGAAGAAGGAGGAGAGCAGATGTGTACAGTCTGATTTCCTTCCCCTAACTGCTGTCATAAGACATTGTCTGTCAGTGCATGTGCATGGGTTATTGTGTTTGTGAGTGTATAATGGTGCAGCTCTACAATCAGACCCATCACAAGATGAGCAGCAAGCCTCAAGCACTGTGCTGACACAGACATACAGTATTATCCATACAGTGCTATCCACACCCATCAACGCTCGCACACATTTCAGCTGCAGCATGAAGTCTGAAAGGTGCTGGAGAAGCTTAAATAGAACAGCTAACAAGATGACTAAGAGGTGTGTGTGTGTGTGTGTGTACATGTGTGTTTCTGGGCAATTACAGTGGAGGCATGCTTGTGTGCATCGATGGTGCTTGTGGCTTAGGGTTGCAATTTGTGAATGTGCATGCATGGCTCTTGATGCATGTGTGCATGTGTGTATCTGTACTCTGTGTGTGTGTGTGTGTGTGTGTGTGTGTGTGTGTGTGTGTGTGTGTGTTTGTGTGTCCATATACTGTATGTTCTTTTGTGTTGAGGCCTCACTAACGAGGTGAATGTCAGCTTGTTGCTCATCAGAGCTCATTAGAAGTGCAGGCTAACACTTAGAACCCCATTACCCCCCACCACCATCACCACCATCACCCCAGTCTCACTCACACAC